CTCTTCCAATTGTGCTGTTATTCTCACTTAAGATGAAGGCTTACAGAACAAAATAGTTTCTCATTTAACAGTTACTACAAATGTTGCCCTATGAGCTTTTTACTTTTTTTATCCTTAATTTCCTCATTGTAAAATAAAGAGCTTGAGCAAATTGATGATTGAGGTCTCACTCAGGCCAAATAATCACAGGCTATCTGTTTTTATAAGTGGTTTCATTTCATACTGAGGAATTAAGAGCTATATAGTCAAAGCAATGTAACAAACAGGCTTTATTGAAGGTTCTTAAGTCAAATATCAGGCTTGGAATCTATGTTCTGTCATTCACTGACTGTATGGCATTGGACCAAATACATAAACTCTTTGTGATTCATGTATTTAAAAGCGATAATAATTTTAATAATAGCTATCCCATAAGATTGTTTATATATTTTTCTTAGCTACTTTACGTAAATCATATGGCACAGAATCACCCTCTGCAAGACGATAATCTTATAAAAACATAGTAAGTTCTCAATAAACATCAGTTATCATCATCATCTTCACTATCATAATCAGATGTTTTATTGCTCAATATAGAAAGCAGTCTTTCTATAACTTAGCCTCCTACTAGAAATTGAAAATACTTTCAGAAAGTAATTTTCTGATTAATTTTCCAATAGCTCTAAGAGCTTTGAAGAAAAGACTCCCGAGCTAATGGCCCCAGCCACAGTACTCAAAGGGATGTACTGTGGAATTCTCCCCTCTGAGTTGAGGCAGAGAAGGAGAAGGTAGCCACTCTCTACTTGTCTTCCCATAAGCCATCCCCCTCAGTCCTTACTTCATCAATTCACCCGCATTGTGATCGTAAGATTTGCGAGAACTCAACATATGCTCCCAAAAACAAAAAGTGGGATGAGGCCAGAAATAGCACATTACTCGAAATTATATTGCATAGGCTCTTGCAACTGAGATATTACAAAGAGATCTTCAGCTCAGTAGTTCTTCAGTGACCTCTTAAAAAGGGAAATGATCATTTTTTTCAGGTCATGGTGACTCTGATATCATTGATAGAATAGTAAGTGGAAAAGGCCAGTAGAGTTATAAGCTTCATGCAAACATTAAGTTTAATTATAAGGTTAGTTTGATCTGCTGAAAACCGTGAATGAATTACAAACATGAACCATAGCAATTTTTTTTTGAAAGCGAGAAATAGCACATTGAACAAAAGAGAAAAATATCCTCATAGAACTAAAATCAATAAGAGACGGCTCTGATGGTTTTTGCATGGCGACATGGGGCAATCATAAATAGCAAAAAATGCTAATATTTCACTTATCTCTGTGGTACTTCTGGTAACCTTTTTATTTGTCTTGGTTCCAGTAATCTCGCAGGTGGGAATTTGGGGACCCTCGTAAGTTTCAGGATGACTCCATTTGCCCAGAATCTTCAAAGGGATGAGGACATTCATGCTCCCAGTGTAAAGCAGAAGATTTCCCAGCAGTGGTTAAGAGTTCAGATGCTACAGAAAGGTCGGCAGTTCGAATCCACCAGATACTCCTCGGAAACATTATAGGGCAGTTTGCAATGGGTTTGGTTTTTGGTTTTTCAGTGGGGCAAGTAGTGAAGGGGGGGAGCATCACGCTATGGCAGGTGTGGTCCTGTTCTAATGCACAGTGACACTTTCTTATACACTAGTTATTCCAGGGTTCTCCATGAGTGATAGAAGACAGACTGGAAGAAGCCTGTAAGCAGTATATGATGCAGGACATGGGTCACTCTTAAAGCATTGAGAGTGCTCTTTCACACAGCACGATTCACTGACAAGTTCTGCAGTCGAAGGAACATCCTTATCTGTCTGCTTCTTTATAAGCAGTGTCTAGTCTAGTCAACATCTCAGTTGATTCTCTTCTCCATGGGTCAAGGAGGAAACGACTGAGTAACCACAAGAGCTGAATCAGATGGAAAAGAACAGGTTCATTCATTACCTTACTCAACATTACCTCTTGACGGAAAGTTGTAAATGCACAGAGATTGGGGCACCGGTAAAACTAGTCCAGTGTATTCATATTATCTCAGTATGTATTGCCCCTTTTCCACAGAATGTTTGCAAATGGAAGAGAGAGGGTCAAGGAGCACTAAGCCCATCATTTAAATTTGAGTCAATTTTTTTCCCCATAGGTATGATGTTCTGTCTAAAACTGATGGTTTTTATTTCTGATATGATACTTATGTTCTACTGAATGTTTAAAAACATATTACATAATGCTCAGCCAGATTTTTAAGTCATTTGGTTACATTTAAGATTATTTGAACATTTACTAATTTGCTATGAATTGTATGTTCTTTTTCTTCTAAATACAGTGCAAAATAACCTTTATATTTATAGGTGATATACTGTAACACTTCAAAAAACTTGCAAAAATCTTAAAAGTCTCATCAATGTAATAAAGCTTAGCTCAATAATTAAAGCGACCCTTTTGTATCTTTAATAATTCTATAAATCCAAGACCATTAACATTTATTATGCTATTTGCTGAATGGTTATCGTATATTTCTTGGAAAAAATTATCATACATTTCAGTTCTTTTCCAACACTGATAGAGCAGTTGGCTACTTTTTCAGAGTGATTTTTTTTTTGCATAGAAACATAAAATGTGTCACTGCAGAAAAAAGCCCTGCATTGGAAATGGCAGGAAAAGAAGAACAAAAACAAGCTGAGATGTGGGTGGTGGGGTATAGCTGCTGGGTGGTGGGACAGGCTCACTCATTCTCTCAGTCACAATTTGCCCCCCTCCAAATTATTGGTGTCTGTCTCAGTCATCTAGTGCTGCTGTAACAGAAATACCACAAGTGGATGGCTTCAACAAAGAGAAATTTATTCCCTCACAGTCCAGCAAGCTACAAGTCCAAATTCAGGGCAACAGCTCCAGGGGAAGGTTTTCTCTCTCTGTTGGCTCTGGAGGAAGGTCCATGTCATCAGTCTTCCTTTGGTCTGGGAGCATCTCAGCACAGGAACCTCACGTCCAAAGGACGCGCTCTGCTCCCGGCACTGCTTTCTTGGTGGTATGAGGTTCCCCTGTGTCTCTGCTCACTTCTCTCTTTTAAATCTCAAAGGAGATTGGATTAAGACACTATCTAATCTTGTAAAGCTCACCAGTATAACCTCGTCACAGTGACAGAATTTACAACACATAAGGAGATCACATATAACCTTATCATAGTGATAGAGTTTACAACACGTAAGGAAATCACATCAGATTTACAAAATGGTACACAATCATACAATACTGAGAATCAAGACCCAGCCAAGCTGATAGATATTTTGGGGGGACACGATTCAATCCATGACAGTGTCTATCCTTTAAATCTTTGATTTAGCAGAATTTCCATTTCTACTTGTGATGGGTCTTTGAAGTCCTTTTGGGATACCTAAATGCCAGCATAAAAGAGACTTCTTCCCTACAAAAATAGAGTCTCCAAATGTGACCCTGTGTAGAGTGAGCCTGTTGTATGGGTGTTCAAGCACCTGAAGGCGGAAGAAATTTCACATCATTTCATTTCACTTTATTCACAGCATTCATAAAACACACTGGATTCATTTCTCAAATCATTTATTAACTGGCCAACTTGAGCTAATACCAGAATCAAAATGAAAAAGGCACCCAGAATATACTTCCAGGAGTAAAAAGCAGCAACAAAACTCTTGTTTAGAATTGCTCATGATAACATGCAATTTTTTATCACCTCCCCAAAATATTTTAAATTGGATGCAACTTGTAGCCTTCTGTGCCTAATATACCAGCAAATGTATTAGTTGAAACAGTGAATGTTAAATCAGTAATTGCAAAGGAGCCATTCAATGGTTTCCACTGTTAGATTAACCACACAAGTAGTATATTTTCCTGCTTTTCCATGAGACAGAGAGGCACTGCACCCTGGCTCACTGTTGGCACTGGATGTCAGTCATTCAAGTGAACTGATTTGAATTATTACTTGAATTATTACTACCTCAATAGTAGAAGAAAATACTAGAAATGATGTTCAAATTTGAACCACACCGCTTCTATCCCATTCACCCTGGATGATTAGAATTCATGAATAATAAACCACTAAGCATTGATGAACACTTCTGTACACTTCTACTTGCAGGGAAGGAATTGAGGCTGTGTGGGATGGGTTTGAGAAGGAGGCTTAAATACACTCTAAGGTAACACCAAGTCATTTCCAGGACACTTCAACCAACCTATACCACCATACCAGTTGCTGTCAAGTTGATTCCGACTCATGGCAACCCTATGTAGCGGAGTAGAACTGTGCCCCATAGGGTTTTCATGGCTGATTTTTCAGAAGTAGATTACCAGGTCTTTCTTCCAAGTGCATCTGGGTGGACTTAAACCACCAACCTTTCCATTAGTAGGCAAGTGCTTAACCATTTGTGCAACTCAGGGACTCATCAACCAACCTAAAACCAAAAACCAAATCCATTGCAGTGGAGTCAATTCCGACTCATAACCCCTACAAGACAGAGTAGAATTGTCCCACAGGGTTTCCAAGGAGTGGCTGGAGGATTTGAACTGCCTACCTTTTGATGAGTAGCCAAGCTCTTAACCACTTCGCCACCACGGCTCCAACTTAAAAATGAAATTAACCTTTAAGAATTCCGTATACTTAGGCCTTTCCTTGTAATTTCTAAGACTATTCTGCACTGAAAATCAGTCTGCTCTGGTTAAAATCCAGGACTCTAGGTTTGGGAATAGAAGGAAAAACTTATAGTGCAATTGTCATCATTGTCACCATACTCTATTATAGCAAACGCTTACATACTATCAACCCTCTGCCAGGCACTGTGCTAGGCATTTTACATCCCAACTAATTCTCCCTATAATTCCATGGTTGGATATTATTCGCATTCACATTTTACAAATGAAGAAACTGAAACAGAGCAGTTATGTGACTTACCCAAGATCACACATTTAGTGAGTGGTGAGATGGGATTCATGTCCAGGAAACCTGGTTCCGGAATAGACTATAACTACACTCTGCTGCCTCTCCCAGAGAGAATCAAGAGGATCAGAGCTGGAAAGAATCTTATTCTGTCAATTTCCTTATTTTACAGGAAAAACCACACTAAGCCTAAAGTTGTAAAGTGGGTGACCTAACATTGTGCAGAAAATAAGAAATAGGTCATCCTAAAGTCTACCCAGAGCCCTTTCTCCTGTGCTATGCTGATCCTTAAATCTCAGTCACTCATATGCACCTACAGTCACATAAAAATAATCAATGGCCCTCATGTAAGAAGCAGAGATACTCACCTTTGCCATATACTGTGGGATAAGAAACACTTAGGACACAAAAAAGAAGATGACCAGAAACCATCCATTTTCTTAGGTTAAGGCTGACCAATACTCATCGATTCAAAACATATTTATTAAGTATTTAATGGACATCAAACACGGTACCAGGAACTAGGGACACAACAGTGGGGGAAAAAAAAAAAAAAAAAAGAAGCAGCAGCCTCCCCTGCCACAGAACTTTGTTCTAATAGAGCCAGTCAATAAATAAGTAAATGCAACAAAATAATTATATCCTGTGTAAAATATTGAGAAGAAAATAAATAGGAATCTGCAATAATTAAAAAAATAATAATGGAAAAGAGAAAGGGTCACATCTGAAAAGCTGGAGTTGAAAGTGATATCTGAACCAATGATATCCCAGTAGAGTACATTAAGTATAATAACATAAACTGAATTATACTTCTAAAGTCCGTGGGTTTTGGCATGCTTGACGTATTTCTTTATTTTTTCCTTAAAGTTCCAAGAATCATTTATGACATTTTTTATTATGTAGAATTGTGGACTGGATGAACCTACATGATTTTTAGAGGCAACTTGTTCGTACTAGCAGTGAGCAAACTATGGTGAGGGGATCCATGGACAGAATTGTCAGTAATGGGGTCCCTGCTTTCCTTAGTGTGTCACATGTTGGAAATGAACGGATGCATAGACAGCCCTTGTTATTTGAAAATATGACATGAGGTACTTAGTATTTAAAAGGCTGGCTAAATGCAATTGCAGTTAAATTTCTATATGGTAATTAAAAACAGAAAAAAAATGTCATATTATTTGCTCTATAAGGAAGTGAAAGAGAGTTTTCTAGTTTAGTATAAACATATGTCTTTTTTTTTTTTTTTACCCATTTGAGGTTATACTCTCTTCTCTCAATGGAAAAGTTGCAAAACAAAATAATGACAGTAATTCTTTAAAGACTGCTGTTATGAATTAAAATGTCTGACATAAACACTACAGTGTTTTCATAGCATTTTTTATGTTTAATAAGAAACATATTTTTCTCCGAAAACATATCTAAAGTTAAATTATTGTCTTTTGGGCACGTTTTTAAAATAGAAAGCACTTGAATGGATTGCTTTTTGGCAATTTTGAATCTGGTTATCATTTGCGACTCTCTAAGATGGTAAAAATATTAAGAGTGATCCATTTAATACCTGGTGATTCTCTAGTACTGTGTTCTATTTTTGTCTAGACGGTGTCAGTCTCTGTGTCTGTCCTTACCCTGAGCTGCATAGCCTTGGATCGATGGTATGCAATCTGTCACCCTTTGATGTTTAAGAGCACAGCCAAGCGGGCCAGGAACAGCATTGTCATCATCTGGATTGTCTCCTGCATTATAATGATTCCTCAGGCCATTGTCATGGAGTGCAGCACCATGCTCCCCGGCTTAGCCAATAAAACCACTCTCTTTACAGTGTGTGATGAGCGCTGGGGTGGTAAGTATATTACGGCCTATAAGCTAACATTTATATCACAGCTGCAAACTGAAAATTAGATTAACATACACATTGTAAAGCTGGGCTTGTATTTTTTATTGGCCTTTGTTAATACAGTTTTGCAAAAATGTATAAACCAAGTTGAAACCCCAGACAATGTCATGGATTAACTCCATCTATCTGTCCTTTGGAAATGCCATGCACTATTTCTTAGTTTTAATATTTTTCAGATAGGGACTGAAAGGAGCCTATTCTACAACTCAGATTTGATTGCTAGTTTTTTTTTTTAAATTCTTTAAAACAAAAAGCGTTCAGTTATACAAATCCAAATATGCATTATGGAATAACTAGCATTTCAGAAGTTGGTTTAATTTGTGCTATCTCAAGTGTCAGGTTGCCTTGTTGTTGTTGTGTGCTTTCGAGTCAAATTCAATTCCTAACAACCCTATAGGACAGAGTAGAACTGCCCCATTGGGTTTCCTGGGCTGAAATCTTTATGGAAGCAGATTGCCAGGTCTTTTTCTCTCACAGAACTGTTGGTGGATTCAAACCACCATCAACCTTTTGGTTAGCAGTCAAGCATTTAACCATTTACACCACCAGGGTGTCTGTCAGTTTCTCTAATGAGGCTCAAATACTATTGGCTTTTTCATTTTAAATACCAGATCCTGCCCGGGAGCCTGACTGGAGGTGAGTATGTGGAGCTATGCTATTCTTGAATGAAATTATTTAAATTGCTTTATTTTTTCATGATATATTAAATTGATTAGCTCTACCACTGGGATCACAGCAACACATACTGTCGGGGCTTGTATGTTGTTGTGTTACTGGAAGCTATGTACTGGAATTCAAACACCAGCAGGGCCACCCATGGCCGACAGGTTTCAGCTGAGATTCCAGACTAAGACAGACTAGGAAAAAGGACCCGGCGGTCTACTTCTGAAAAGAATTAGCCAGTGAAAAACTTATGAATAGCAGTGGAACATTGTCTGATATATTGCTGAAAGATGAGAACTCCAGGCTGAAAGGCACTCGAAAGATGACTGGGGAAGAGCTGCCTCCTCAAAGTAGAGTCGACCTTATTGGCATGGATGGAGTCAAGCTTTCAGGACCTTCATTTGCTGATATGGCACGACTCAAAATGAGAAGAAAGAGCTTCAAACATCCATTAATAATTGGAACGTGGAATGTATGAAGTATGAATCTAGGAAAGTTGGAAATCATCAAAAATGAAATGGAACACATAAAACATTGATATCCTAGACATTAGTGTGCTGAAATGGACTGATATTGGCCATTTTGAATCAGACACTCATATGATCTACTCTGCCGGGAATGACATCTTGAAGAGAAATGACGTTGCATTCATTGTCAAAAAGAACATTTCAAGATCTATCCTGAAGTACAACACTGTCAGTGAAAGGATAATATCCATATGTCTACAAGGAAGACCGGTTAATACAACTATTATTCAAATTTATGCACCAACTACCAACGCCAAAGATGAAGAAACTGAAGATTTTTACCAACTTCTGCAGTCTGAAATTGACCGAACATGCAATCAGGGTGCATTGATAATTATTGGTGATTGGAATTCAAAAATTGGAAACAAACAAGAAGGACTGGTAGTTGGAAAACATGGCCTTGGTGATAGAAATGATGCCAGAGATCTCATGATGGAATTTTGCAAGACCAAAGAATTCTTCATTGTAAATACCTTTTTTCAGCAACATAAATGGATACTATATACGTGGACCTTGCCAGATGGAATACATAGGAATCAAATCGACTACATCTGTGGAAAGAGACGATGGAAAAGCTCAATATCATCTGTCAGAAAAGGCTAGGGGCCAACTGCCGAACAGACCACCAATTGCACATATGCAAGTTCAAGTTGAAACTGAAGAAAATTAGATCAAGTCCATGATAGCCAAAGTACAACCTGAGTATATCCCACCTGAATTTAGAGACCATCTCAAGAATAGATTTGATGCGTTGAACGCTAATGACCAAAGACCAGACGAGTTGTGGAATGACATCAAGGACATTATACATGAAGAAAACAAGAGGTCATTAAAAAGACAGGAAAGAAAGAAAAGACCAAAATGGATGTCAGAAAAGATTCTGAAACTTGCTCTTGAACGTCCAGTAGCTAAAGCGAAAAGAAGAAATGATGAAGTAAAAGAGCTGAACAGAAGATTTCAAAGGATGGCTTGAGAAGACAAAGTAAAGTATTATAATGATACGTGTAAAGACCTGGAGATAGAAAACCAAAAGGGAAGAACATGTTCAGCATTTCTCAAGCTGAAAGAACTAAAGAAAAAAATTCAAGCCTCAAGTTGCAATACTGAAGGATTCTATGGGGGAAAATATTAAACAACACAGGAAGCATCAAAAGAAGATGGAAGGAATACACAAAGTCACCATACCAAAAAGAATCGGCCGACTTTCAACCATTTCAGGACGTAGCATATGATCAGGACCCAATCATACTCAAGGAAGAGGTCCAAGCTGCACTGAAGGCACTGGTGAAAAACAAGCCTCTGGGAACTGACGGAATACGAATTGAGATGTTTCAACAAACAGATACAGCACTGGAAGTGCTCACTCGCCTATTCCAAGAATTTTGGAGGACAGCTACCTGGCCAACTGACTGGAAGAGATCCATATTTATGCCTATTCCCAAGAAAGGTGATCCAGCCTAATGTGGAAAATGTAGAACAATATCATTAATATCAGTAAAATTTTACTGAAAATTATTCAAAAGCAACTGCAGCAGTATATCAACAGGGAACTGCCAGAAATTCAAGCTGGATTCAGAAGAGGACATGGATCCAGGGATATCATTGCTGATGTCAGATGGATCCTGGCTGAAAGCAGAGAATACCAGAAAGATGTTTACTTGTATTTTATTGATTATGCAGAGGCATTTGACTGTGTGGATCATAACAAATTATGGATAACATTGCAAAGAATGGGAATTCCAGAACACTTAATTGTCCTCATGAGGAACCTATACATAGATCAAGAGGCAGTCCTTTGAACAGAAGGAGATACTGCGTGGTTGAAAGTAAAAAAGGTGTGCGTCAGGGTTGTATCCTTTCACCACACCTATTCAATCTGTATGCTGAGCAAATAATCTGAGAAACTGGACTATATGAAGAAGAACGGAGCATCAGGATTGGAGGAAGATTAATTAACAACCTGCAATATGCAGATGACACAACCTTGCTTGCTGAAAGTGAAGACGACTTGAAGCACTTATTGACAAAGATCAAAGACCACAGCCTTCAGTATAAATTACACCTCAGTATAAAGAAAACAAAAATCCTCACAACTGGACCAATAAGCAACATCATGATAAATGGAGAAAAGATTGAAGTTGTGAAGGGTTTCATTTTACTTGTATCCACATTCAACACTCATGGAAGCAGCAGTCAAGAAATCAAAAGACGCATTGCATTGGGCAACTCTGCCGCAAAAGACCTCTCTAAAGTGTTGAAAAGTAGAGATGTCACCTTGAAGACTAAGATGCGCCTGACCCAAGCCACGGTGTTTTTGATCTCCTCATGCGTGTGAAATCTGAACAACAAAAAAAGAAGACAGAAGAAGAATTGACACCTTTTAATTGTGGTATTGGAAAAGAATACTGAATATACCATGGACTGCCAAGAGAACGAGCAAATCTGTCTTGGAAGAGGTACGACAAGAATTCTTCTTAGAAGCAAGGATGGCAAGACTATGTCTCACATACTTTACACATGTTATTAGGAGGGATCAGTCCCTGGAAGACATCATGCTTGGTAAAGTTGAGGATCAGCAAAAAAGAGGAAGACCCTCAATGAGATGGATTGACACAGTGGCTGCGACAATGGGCTTAAACATAAAAAAGATTGTAAGGATGGTGCAGGACAGTGCATTGTTTCGTTCTGTTGTACACAGGATAGCTATGAATCGGAATGGACTCAACAGCACCTAACAACAACAACAACAACCACTGGGATGTCCCTGGGAGGTGTAAACAGTTAATACACTTGGCTGCTAACAAAAAGCTTGGAAGTTTGAGTCCACCCAGAGGCACATAGGAAGAAAGTCCTGGCAATCTACTCCCAAAATATTAGCCATTAAAAACCCTGTGAAGCACAGTTCTGCTCTGACACACATGGGATCACCACGAGTCAGAATCGACTGGATGGCAGTTTTTTGTTTGTTTTGTTTTTTAACCGCTGGGATAATTACTATCTGATTTAAGAATTATTTTAGTTATGAATCTTTTCAGGTTTCCCATCCTGATAAGTATGCTATTGAAATTTAAAGAAGCAGAAGTTTGGAGGCCTTATGCTCCTTTGGTTCATGACTCTCAGTAGGGTCACTGAGGTTCTTCTGTAAGTAATGCCTGGTGATGGCCGAGATCTGGACACACCAAAGAGTGGGCAGAAAAATAAAATAGCCACCCTGCATTTTTGCATAAAATGCACTAGTTACAAAATTATCACATGAAATCATAGGAAGTAGAATCTGGTCTCTTCAAGAAAAAGAATCTGATCTCTTCTAACTATGTAACAATGGCTATATTTAGGGAATTTGAACATTAGGAAAGCATTTACTTTTATTAGAAAGATGATCATTTATGTTTATTATAAAGATAAATTATAAAAGTAGAGTACTCCAGGGATTGATTGTAGATCTGATATTTTCCAGTATTTGAATCTTTGAATTTATGGTAATTCCTACAAGTAACTTGCACTGGAACACTGAAAAGAGAAAAAGTCAGGATCTGAAAAATTTGGTGCTATGTGCTTTTACTGCAGCAACTTAAAATCTAAAATACATTGGGATTATTTCATATATTTTTGAAAGATCTACAATAACTGAACATTTATAATTTACTACTATCTCAAGCACTAAATATCCCTCTTTCATTGAAATTCCACTTTCCTTTCTAACATTGTGATTCTTTTGCTGTATTTTTCTTTGGATCATTAGATTTTCACAATTTT